GGGGGGGGGGGGTTTGGGGGGGCTCATTGAGGAACCTGTCCTTGGGGCAGCAGAGAGAGTAAATCCGGCCCTGCTCGCAAATCCAGGCAAAATGTGTAACTGTCGCTTCTTGAAGAAGTGGAAGTAGCGATTGTTTTGTTAGGTGATGCTCCAGTTTCAGACAGCCGCAGGACAAGTGCGGATGTAAACAGTTACAAACTGTCGCAAAAAAACATGCAAAACATGTGCATTCAGGAAAATAGTGCAAGCTCTGGTCAAAACAGGCGCACATGTTAAAAAGGAGCGGCTAAACAGATTTGTACAGAAAAAAAAAGATCTAAGAGGCTAAAACCGTCACAATTGCTTTGATAAATTGCCTCCACAATATCTAACACCCCCCCTATATCTAACACCAGATCTACACAGTACACATTACATTGTTACATTCTATCCAGAATGGGCTTGTAGAGTTAACTTGAGGTCATTGTTAGCGGAAAGCAGAACAATGATGAGTGAATGCTTCGTACTCTCATGAGAGGAAGTATAGGGTGAAAGTATAAACAGTATTGTGCAGTGGCTGCTGTAGAGAGATGCACTTGCGTTCTCTACTGATTCATTGCACTGATAGAACACTCGCATTCATTCTGCTTGAGGCCAGCACAGGAACTTATGTTGAAGCAATGTATTGTCCTATTTCTATAACAAGGCCACACATAGATTTCTGAAGGCATCGGAACGCGTGATCTCAGGCACAGTGGGGCTGATACAGACAAAAACGTTCAACTCGGTCAAACGTTCCTGTTCTTGTGAATGTGCAATGGTGGGGGGGATGGGGAGAGATGACCAATGCTGGAAGAGGTCACTGGAACTGTTTATCTCAGGGGCAATCATCCCGATCAGATCTTCTAACCTAACCAACTGACTGTTCCTGCAGATAAAGGGGATAGAGATAGTTGCCTGACCCAAAAACAGACTACTATGGATTAAACATGTCCATGACTTTGCTATATGATCAAATAATATGTTGGAAAATGTGTTTATGTGCACTACTGTCCCTTCCATGTAAATCCATACACGGTCATGTTCCTTGTAGATAATGGGTAGTGTATGCAGTGGGGTCACAAGGGGGTGCAGCCCACACCCGGGTGACACCATTGGAGGGTCATTTTGGTGTCGCCCCCTCTAAAAAGTCAAGCACTCTGTCATGGACCGAGAGCCCGACAGTGTCAGGAGAGAGGAGGGGACCCGGCGGCATACCTCATTCCGCCGGGTGAACGTCCCCTCCTCTCTCTGGCGGCGTCCATCACCAAGATGGCCACCGGCAGGAGTCAATTAGACTGTCGTGCATGCGCGGTGACGTCCCACGCATGCACGATGACGTCACAGCGAGGCGTCACCCGGTCTCCGCTCCAGGTGACACCTGGCTACAGGATGCCCCTGAGTGTATGGTTGGCCTTTCTGAACTTCTGCCTTGTGTAAGTATTCAGATATTTAGGAAAAAGAGAGCGCTATTGCAAATGTAGTTTATTGGTATCCATACAACTGACCACTGACTGGAGCAGACTTCATAGATTCTGTAAAACTACTCATTCATGAAATAAAGCTCCTGAACTCTGGACTCCTAGCCCCGATAAAGGGAGCCCTCCAGAGCCCCTGGAGCACATTGGCTGCTGTACAGATACCACCAACAAAACTACCTGTGGAATTTTACATTTATGTTGCACTTTCTTTCCTATATATCTGATATGTTAGGGGCTCCAGTTGTGAAAGATATCAGCTACCCAACAATCCTCCAAAACCAGGAGACATACCTAACCAAGATAACATGGGCAGCACAGTTAGCGTAGTGGTTAGCGCTTCTGCCTTGCAGCACTGGTTCAATTCCCAGTCAGGTCACTATCTGCAAGGAGTTTGCATGTTCTCCCTGTGCTTGTGCGGGTTTCCTCCGGGTACTCCGGTTTCCTCCCACACTCCAAAGACATGCTGGAAGGTTAATTGGCTCCTCTCTAGGTTGGCCCTCTATGTATGCATGTGAGATAAGGGACCTTAGATTTTAAGCTCCTTGAGGGTAGGGACTGATGTGATTGTGCAACTATGTAAATTAGGTGCTGCGTAAATTGTCGGCACTATATAAATACCTGTAATAAAATAAATAACAGATTGTGAGCTTGTGTGGGCCTACCACCGAACTTACTCCGAATATATATATTTTTTTATATATATATATATTTAATACTACAACCACGGTAAGATTTTTAATTGAATTATAGTTGAGATGAAATCTCTGATTTGTTTGGCTGATTGTTAAAAAGGGGAAGTTTAGGCTTTTTTTTTTTTTAATTAGCACAAGTTTGTGATCATTCTAATGTAAAAATAAATACATAATGACAGGTTAACTTTGAGGCCACTTTGTAACTGAAAGACTCCATTGTGTACCAGTGAATAGCTACCTATCTGTACTTTATATAGAGTGATCAGCATAAGACGGTCACGTCGGAGATCAGAGCAGCCTGGAAGTGATCTCAGGAACTGATCGGAGGACTGCCAAGGTCAGCGCATTCTCCTTCAGTTACGTAAAGCTGAGCAGTTTCTGGTGCGCTCACATCTAGATCAGCGACTGTTTGTTTATTCTGCAGAACATTGTTTGAAAGAAGAATTTCCTTCTATTAAACTGTATTAGTCATCGCACACCGCCCCCCTGTCACCACCTTGATTGTACCGTTTCCTTCTGTTTACAAACTGACTATTTGTGGACACTGGTCTCCAGATCTCTATGACCGCACTGCGACAACTTCCATTTTTAAAAGCATATGTCACTGTTATCACTACTGGAGCTAACCTGAAATAAAAGGTAGTTGTGGAGGGTGAGAACATTGTCTGTGTTTTTAATGGTGGTATATCATTAGATTCTACAAGCCAAAATGTGAAGCAGTGTTGTGTATTATGTAGTTGGAAGGAATACTTGTTTAGACTTTCCCATTTGAGGCCAGCTTGTTAGATGGATGAGATGGTCAAGCGACACCTGTAGAGCCTATAGAGTGGGAGACAACACTGGCCAAGTGACACCTGTAGAGCCTATAGAGTGGGAGACAACACTGGCCAAGTGACACCTGTGAAGTCTACACCTCCCAGATGTCGTCATCTATGAAGCTTATAGAGTGGGAGTGAGCTCCTGCCAAGTGACACCCGTGAAGTGTATAGAGTGAGAGACAACATTAGTGACACCTATATTGTGGGAAACACTTGAAGAGCCTATAAAGTAGGAGACAACACTGGCCAAGTGACACTTGAAGAGCCTGTAGGAGTAAGAGACCACACTGGCCAAGTGACACCTGTGGAGACTACACAGTTAAAATGTAACACTGACCAAGTGAAACCTCTGGAGCCAACAGAGTGAGAGACAACACTGGCCAAATGACAACTGTGGGGGTTATACAGTGGTAGACTATAAATCAACTGACACCTGTGAATTGGGTAGCAAAGCTAGAGGTTTTATATATTTCTTACCTGCATGGTGCTGATACAGAGACTCCGGTGGATGACGAATTGACTGAGTCCTGCTGATCTCTTGTAACTGTTCCTTCCATGTACCATTAAGAGACGGCCCAGGTGTTTAAACTGTGTGACAGAGAAGTCTGCAGCCAGGGACGCTTGTTTCCCTTCCTGTAACACAAACCACACTGCATCAGACAGGACCCGGGAGAGCCTGTACATACTGTGCCACCAACAACGTCCTGTTCTAACGTGTTGGCAAAACTGGAACCCTGCGTTCAGCCAAAGTAAGTTTGATCCTAACCATCCACCATGCTGGTCTCAGGTCAGTTTTAGTCAGCCAGATTTCCTATGATATTTTAGACTTTCTTTTAGTTTATAAAGCCAGGCAGATCTCACAGCTGAGCATTTCAACATTAGAGATTTTTTTTTTATAATTTACTATCAGCTCCATTTTAGCTTTTCCTGAAACTTAAAACCAGTTTGCAGCCAGTGTTGACTGAAATGCAGTTGGCAGCTTTCGAGGATGTGGGTGGGTAACACTTGCTTTTGGAAAATAATGGCCAATGTCAAGCAGAACCGTCTGTCTGCATCACTAGGTGGCAGCTGTAAACTTTAGGTATAGTCCACCAAGTGCAGCTCCTCACAGTAGGAGGAGAGAGAAGTACTTACTTGTATCTAGTAACCCAAAGCTGCCCATTTCACCTATGCATGCCTTGATGGCTGTTTGTCCTGTGTTGACGTGTGCAGCGTTAAGGCAACCCACTCATTTTTAATGGGTCCTTGATGAGCCTTAGCACTTGCACTATTTTTGGCCAACCTAGCTCAGCACAACAAACAGACCAGTCACGCCTGTATGTTGTGGTGCATGGGTTTACATTATCTATAGGCATTGGGGTAATTATCTTCAATCAATGTCAGCACACCTCAACACATTATCAAATCTGAGTGAAAAGTATCAGTTATCTTTCAGGAACTAAAACAAATAAGTAAATGGTACAGGGGGCAATATAGGAGCAGCGTCACTAAACTGGATATGTATACACTGTATGCTGGTTTTTCTTCAGATGTGCAAGTTAAAATGCTGTAAATTGGTTGTAATGAGCAACGTTGCATAGAAATAAAGGCGACTAATCCAGGTATACACACACACACACACACACACACACACACACACACACACACCATCATGTCAGGTATTGGATGATCTTTTTTTTAAAGATAATAATTGATGGAACTTCTCACCTTTCCTTCCACGCCCACCCCGCAGTCAGCTTCCTGGATCATGCTCACATCATTCCCTCCATCACCTGAAATTAAAAAGAGAGATGAAGCATTTGTTGGTTAAAGAATTGAGATGCACTGGTCGTTACAAGCGCCATGTTTATACCAGTTTTCATAATTCATCCCCAACGTACCAGACAGGTAACCGTGTTATTTGTGTTGTAATAATGATGAATCATTAGAGCTCCCCCTAGCTGCGGCCTGTTAATAGAATTTCTTGGAAAAGGAACAAAAGAGAGCGCCTCCATAGGGTAAAAATGTTATTTAATAGTAAAAACACGCAGCTCTAAGGCTGTACTTACAACAGTTCGGTAGAATTAAAACCAGTAGAATAAGGCGAGAGGACGGAACCCCTGGCAGGGAGAATCTGGAGCAATGTAAAACACCAGTAACCTCGATCCCTTGGTAAACGATTTACGTGTTTCTGGGGCACGCCCCCTTCATCAGAACCAGGAGGTGCCCCAGAAACGCGTAAACCGTTTACCAACACAGGGATCGAGGTTACTGGTGTTTTACATCGCTCCAGATTCTCCCTGCCAGGGGTTCCGTCCTCTCGCCTTATTCTACTGGTTTTAATTCTACCGAACTGTTGTAAGTACAGCCTTAGAGCTGCGTGTTTTTACTATTAAATAACATTTTTACACTATGGAGGTGCTCTCTTTTGTTCCTTTTCTCATAGACTGGTAGTCCATCTAATCTGTGGGAGCTGCCTCCATCGTGTTTGCTGTATTTTTACTGCTGGGCTCTTTTGGATTTGAAGGCGCCGGTATTGTTTTGCAGAATTGCTGAGAGGTCTATTCATTTTCCTATATCAGGAGATGAGCACTGGAATTATTTCTATCTGGTATTCTGTGTATTTGGCATGACACAGTACAGACAAGACACCACTATGCTAACATGACATGCACATACTGGTGAACGAAGGATCAAGCGACTTCTCAATGCACTAGATACATGGCCATCTTAAAGTAGAACTTCAGGCATGTTTTATTGATGAGGAGTTACATTTCCCCCTCACCTCCAGTCAGTATTCACCAGTAAATATGGAAAAGGAATATTTGCAGTAATAAAACAGCCATAAGGCTCTTTATTAAGTCAAGCAGGAAGGGCTAAGAATATCTGCCATGTTTTTATTGCTGTCCCTGTTGGTGGGACTTCCCTTTACCTTCTGCTTCAGTAACAGGCGGTCACCTGCAAGTGGAGGGGATATTACCCGAGCTGGGACACATACAAAAATGCTCTACACCTTCACTTGAGCGCTTCTTTAAGCTTTATAACGGTAACATAAAGCTACATTTTGATCATAGCAGAAAGTGTGGGAATGGCCGGAAAACCTGTAAACATATCTTAGGGTTTAACCCCTTCATGACTGAGCTTGTTTTTAGTTTCTGTTCGTAAATGACTGACACACTTTTGACATTTTTGCTGTGTGATTCTTCCACGTCAGTAATATACTTTCTTACAAAGTGCACCCACACATATTATATATTGTTTTTTAGAGGACAGATAGGGCTACATATTTATATCACATATGTGCGTCTAACGCCTCACTTAGGACAAATAAAATATAAAAAAAGAGGAAAAAAACGTTTAAAAAAAACACTTTTTTCCCAGTTTTGATTTGTAGTATTTTTTTTACAAAACCAGCACAGCTAAAAAAATGCAATAAATACATTCATTTATTTGTCCCTTATTTTATTTTTTACACATTTTTTTATTTTTTTTTACACTTTTCACTTTTTTTTTTAACTTAAAAATGTTATTTTATTTATTTAATTATATCAAGCAGATTTTGTGAATTAATCTCACTGTTACTGCATGATAAATTAATACATTTTTGGTTATTATCAGGCTGCTTCAAACTTCAGAACAGCCGATAATAAGTTAGTGACACTGATCCTGCAGCAGTTCAGGATTCAGCTGTTACTAAATGTTTTCTGATTGTTGCAACAACGATCAGCAAACAAACATTCTTCTTCCAGGAATAGATACATTGTAGGAATAGACACATTTTGTATCTATTCATGCAAGAAAAAAAAAAAAGCCAGTATAGCTTGAGAGAGATATCTCTCGATCTATACGAGCTGTCAGAAAGCCGGCAAAAGCCGGCATCTGTGTCCGCTTTGCTTTGACTCTCAGACACCCGATATTAAGGTATCGGGTGTCTGAAAAAGGTTAACCCTTTCATTAATGAATGCCTCTGTAGTAAGGGCATACATTAATGAATGTTAAAAGCTGATTCTCAGCGATTAACAGCCCTCTAAAGCAGCAAATAACTCGTCACGTACAGTGTACGTGACAAGTCATTTGGTCCCTTTGTGGCTGGACGTACAGTGTACGTCTCCCGTCACGAAGGGGTTAAGGCACGGGCAAGTCCATGAGGATGTTTTATTTTTACCTCCACGGGGCTCATTAACCGAGGGAAAGTGCAATGGGAAAAATACAGCAATTAACGTAAATCCAATGCCAAAACTTTGATTATTTTGTTTTGGATAGTATAGGGAATAGGAAAGGGTTAATTGTTCATTGTTTTGCCATATTTATCCCATTGGGGAGATTTACCTTTGTTTCCTATCCTGTAGATACAAGCAAGTGGTCAGAAAGTGGAATATAGACTGGCACTCATTTAGAAGACACACAGGTTTCATAAAAAATTTTTTTTTTCAATGATGCTGTACGAGGCTTTGCATATGTCCTCTGATAACTTCTGTCAGACACTTTTGGTTGTGAGGCTCACAGTGAGGTGTAGGTGTGCAGGACCACAATGCGAGGCTTCTTCACAATTATATTAAACACGGGGAATTTCTTATTACAAGACAGTCAGTGCTGAAGAAGCTTCACAGGAAAACATCTTGTGGTTCTGATTATTACAGGTGCAAAACCTCACAAGTGAAACGTAATGTGCTGTCACGATAATATCATTTATTTTCCACCCACAAAACAAACAAGTCATTTCAAAAATAATTTTTTTAAAAACCCTGCAACACCTCAGATTAGAACAGAGATAGTTTAAAGGAGAACTTCCTTAGATGTGACAAAAGAGAAGGTTTTTCTCAATCTCAGAGTATTATAAACCAACGCATGACCCAGTTATTGTATTCTTAAATGCGCGTTTAACACCGGCCATTACCAAAGTCTACAGTCCAAGCAGTGTGGCTTGGAGGGGTCACTACTCTCCATCTCCCTCTGAAGATCCTGGATCAAAAATCCACAGGTCACTTTATCACTGAGCTCCTGAATGTAGAACATGCCCAACAGCTGGACCACAAAAATAAGGTCCTCCTCTATGGTGGCTGCCAGGGCAAAGAGCCATTTGTGTACAGTCCCAGCCCTCCACATCACTGTAACTGAAATTAGGATCTTCAACATCACTGCTGGATCAGTTCCAGCAGTGATGACCTACCCCGAAAATAAGACCTTGTGTGTTTTTTTGAGCCCAAAAAAATATAAGACAGTGTCTTACTTTCGGGGAAACACGGTATATGGGAAACACAAGGTTTTCCCTCAAAGGGATTCAAACCCAGGTTTCCAGCAGACCAGTTGGCGCTCTTACCCTCTAAGCTACCATCTATGCTCAGCGCTTGTTCTCTTCTTTCAGAAAAACAGTCATCGAAAGGCAAGCAAACAAACAATCAACTCCTCTATGACCACTAAAGTATGCTAGTTACTGAGCTATCATTACCCCTCTAGGATAACCTGTATCACTGTTCTATCAACCTGTTCTATCAAGTATTAACCTCTACCCTATGTGCTTTTTATTTCAGAACCAGTGGCAGTCTTTCACTAACTCACAGCCAGAAATACTAACCCAGGATCATTTCCAAGTACTCAGTATTCCAATAAATGTCTTCTGAACGCTTTAATTCAGAAGTTTCAAATGGTGCAAACAAAGCATGGAATGGAGGTCCAGTTACTGACGATGTTACTCCAAAGTCATTTCACAGAAGTCCATTTCTCCACTTTGAACGCAGGCTCAATAATGCAGAGGATCCTGTTTCTTAGACATAAAGTAAGTAATTACGAAAAGAACCAAAACATTTATGGTCCTCATCGCCGTACTAGGGAAAGTTGCAATCTGCTCACACCAAAACTGCTCGATATCTAGCCCAGCCTTATTGAAATTGGTTTTCCTTTTTGGGTCTTCTCAGAAATCTATGAAATCATTTCATGTTGACTTTTTTTTATGAATCAGAGATCCAGTCCCACACCACCAAGGGGTATTGATGCCAATGGTTCCAAACTCCAAGCCATTGCAAAGTTCCAAGCCACACAGAAGGAGGGCCTTCTCCATATTGTTTACTAATAAATCATTATAAACTTTTTAATGTTTTTTTGGAGCCTAGAAAGAACTCTAGCTTTAGGGGTTTGTCTACAGCCAGTGATAACCTGGCCTGTGGGGATTTGGTTTGGGATATCCATGAGAGGCAGGGCAGATGTCCCCGAATCAACACATAGATTATAATTGTGGATAGTATTAACATTTAGATCAGAAGGAACAGTAAGTCACAACCAAATTTCTACTGGTCAGTGCGTATATGAATTTTAGATTAGAGTGTATGCATAGCATACTGTAGATGGAGTGTGTAAGGGTTAGCATCCCTGGTTTTTATTTCTGTCTCTGGCCCCACTTGGTAGACTTACTCTCTTTCTTACTATTGTCATGACATCATTTCATAGTTGTCACCAAAACAAGACAAAATGTATTTCTGCGCTATACCTACAGCTACAGAGGTGAAATCGGGGCTTGTTTAGCTGTTTAGTGTGCACGACCCGAATACAGATCACTTTAATTAAAAACTGTTCATACGGTAGATTTGTTTTAGGTCGGACATTGTACAGAATGTCAATTGTCATCTGAAGGGATCAGAATCATTATTTATCATTTTTATAAAAAGCACACAAAATATAAATGTAAAATTGTACACAATTAATACCAGAAAAAGATGTTTAGACTGTGTATCTTCTGTCGCAAGAGAAAAATGGGGGGCTGCCATTTCTGATCTCCTTTTTAAAATGCTTGTTGCCTGGCTTTCTTGCTAATTTGCAGTTTTAATGTGGCATTAAACCCTCAGATTTTTTAACATAAACCAATACTGTAATGTGCGCCTTACTGTAATCCATGGTTGTTTCCCTTCTCTTTGCTGCTCTTCCTTTTAAATCCTCATGTCTTCTCATGCTTGGGGAGTGCCTCTTCCTGTAGTGCTGGCTCAGGTTACAAACCTACACACAGACACCATGTATCCATTCCAGAGACAAGGCAGTCTGCTGCAAAACAGAAGTTCTGCCCAGCATGAGAACAAATACAGATTTAAAAGGAAGAGCAGCAAAGAGAAGGGAAACTACCATGGATTACAGTAAGGCGCACATTACAGTATTGTTTTATGTTAAAAAATCTGAGGGTTTAATGTCACTTTAATGCTTTCTCAGTCACTGCCCAGGAAAATAATGCTGGAGTTCAGATCTAATGTAATGCATTCTTGTTCTAGGTAGGAGACTCAGAGACAGAGGAAATTCGAATTTTCAGAAGCAGACCAGCAATAGCAGCCTCCATATTTCTCGGTTAGCTCATTTTAGTCTCCTTTACCCCAGTGATGTAAAGAATCATTTTACAGCAGAAAAGTTATATAGCACACTGGATATTTTCAGGGCTTTGTGACAATGCTGGAGGATTACATTCGGCGGTTCCATACCTACAGCGCAGGTCAGTTTCCCTGTCCTTTCTTGCAGCAGCCGCACAATCTGAGCCTTCTGGGTGGGAGCGCAGCGGCAACACACGACAGCTGGGCACTGACAGGCCAGTTCCATAAATTCGTATTCGTAGTACTTCAGGCACACCTGGAGAACAGCAAAAGTGGAACCAATGAGAGAGAGAATAAAAACTGCCCACACATAACAACCTGATTGTAAATATCCTTTAGATTCATCAGCAACCATGTAGTGTGAGGACCTACGTAAACAATTGATTAGATTTAAACCCAATCACGTAGGCGGTCACACTACAAAGCTGATGTGTTGGCAATTCTCTTCATGAAGCAACAACCTTCTCTGATGCACAAAAATTTTCCTTAGTGCACCTCTTTACTCGAGGGTATGAGCCAGTCATATCTCATGCTTTCTACAGGCCGTGCATGTCCAAGCTTAGTCTTGAAAGTAAGCAAAATAAATAAAAAAGCTCCTGAAAATGACACTTGTTCACCTGCTCGTAGAATCTTCACTCCAGTGCGGCGCAAAACCACCCAAAATGATCTTCACAACCAACATAATTCTGGGTGTGTTTAATTCCTTTGTCTCCTGCCATATTCTGTGGTTCCTCCCAGCGGCTCCTACGTCATTACAGTGTCCCATAGTGACAAAGCCCGAGGGAGAACTACAGAACATTATGTATAAAGTGTCTCATTTATGGGAGATTATTTTTCTTCTCAGTGATAGAGTCACTTTAAAAAGGAGAACTATGGGGTATGTGTTTTCCCCATAGTTCTCCTAAGGGTAACGGGAGGACACAAACTAGCGTCTTCCCGTTACCCTAAGTTAAGTATATAGTGAGCTACAGCTCGCGGTATACTGAGGAGCCGCGGCTGAAACTGATCCCGACAATTACTTCTGGATCCGCCCGCCCAGCTGCCTGAGTGACAGCTGGCTCTGCCTATCTAGAGGCAGAGCCAGCTGTACCCGCCCCCTCCCCCATCCGTTCCGCCAGTCGGAGCGGGGAGGGGGGATTCCAGTCCCTCCCCTGTCACGGCTCTGTGGTGTAACAGGATCGATAAGGGAGCGAGCGCCGGTATGTGTTCGCTCATCTCCTGAGCCGACCTGTGACAGTCGCATTGTCACAGGTCGGCTAGAACTATGAGGATGAGTGAAAAGCTGATTGGTTACTATGAGGAACTGCTCCAGTTTTGATATATTATGATAGCTGTCATATAGGATAGCTGTGTCCCAGACAATCTCCCCCACCAGAGGATTGACACTTGTGCCTTCATATTGAGACTAACCAGTATGCATATTCATATGTTAAATACCTCCAAGGAGTCCCCAGATATGACCAAGGCGCAGTCGTGCTTTCTCCTAAACGCATTTAGCTCCAGATGGGCTTCCCCGCGGTTTGTTACCTGCAGCAGTACAAAGTACATTTGTTAGATCCCAGGCAGAGGTCATTCTCCATAACCCTCTCCTATTCCTGCGTCCTTTACTGAAATACTCACGGATCGGAATATGTGTATGTCCTGGTTTCTGGTCACCAAATGAGCGTTCTTTGCCGTGCAGGTCGCCGTCTCCAACTTGTCCCCAGTCAACATCCAGACCTGAAGGCGACAAAACAATATCTCTTAAGGGTAGAGCTGTCATTTCAATCTTCAAGTCTTAAATATAAATGAACGTTATCAGTTGAGCTGTACAATTTCCTGCTGCAGATGTGAACAACATTTATGTTATTTTAATTCATTATTAAATGACACTCCCCAGCTGTAGACTACCCTACCCTTTGCTCTCCGGCTGCTTGGCTGGTTACTTGTCTGTATAGAGGGGCATCTGATTCACTTCTCATTCTCCCATGTGGCAATGTTTTTGTATAGTAGATTTTGGTGAGGCAATTACAAGGGTGTTTGTACCAACATAAAATATATAATCCATTACAGCACTATGACCCATCGCTTTGTTCCCATACCTTCATGCCTGCGTTCCGTAATGTCTCCAGGGTAGGCCGCACATCAGCTTGCAGTTGGTCTTCCACTCCGGTCAGACACAGCAGTTCCATCTCCATTTCCAAGCTCTCTATCACGGTGGCCACTTTCAGTGAGCGGTCATGAACGCTAAGTTTTGCCTGGACATAACGTGCCTGAAGAAAAAACAAAAACCTTGAGATCAAGTTCATAAATCCATCACTGATGAAGTGACCAAACCGAGAATCAGTCCAATGCAAATCAACACCTGGCGTAATCTCACAGGACCAAAAATGCAGCAACCTGGAATTTAGATACCAACTATTATATTTATTTGGACTCCACATTTAAAACAGTAAATCGCCACCAAGTAATTGCCAAGGAATAACTAAAACCCTGCTGCTGAGTCAGTCTGAAAACATACTGGACCCCTCCAGTTTTCTAGCTCTGACATCTAAAACAACCGACTCTGGAAATACTAGTCATCAACATGGTCCCTTTGCCAACAGAGTTCCACTGGGCAGGGATTGTGGCAGCATGTCATTGTGTGCGCTCTGCAGTACACGTTGGGCCAGTGAAATGCTCACTCTTGGGAACAACAAGAATTTTCTAACGTGGCCCTAAACACTGCCCAATCCAAAAGCTATCCAGACACAACTGGTGATGGCTGTTAAGTGATGACCAGATATATTCACCTAAAGACAGCAAATTGGAACTCTTACTTCTAGAGATAAGATCTGCATTTTCTTTAGTCTGGATCTCTGAGCAACCTTACCTCGAAATCCTGATACTGCTCCTCCGTCAGGGACTTTTTGGCCACCACCAGGACCCGGAGTCCTTCTCGGGCCATGTTGCCGCACTGAGAAATAAACAGATTCAGGTCAGAGCAAATTACCACAGTGCTTACTATGTGCCAGATTCATTAGTCATGGTCTTCACTTTTATTCCAGCCAAATAAGTTTCTGTGTATACTACATATCAAATATCACCAGATGAACTGCACTTAACTTAAGGAAAGTGCTACATTTTTTGATGGGGCTCATAGCTGGCTGAATAGTTTACGGCAGCTTCCAGTCCTAAAATAATAATTTCTATAGCATGTGTCCTAGGAAAAGGCAATGGATGGCAGCTGTACATTAATCATAGGGAATTGATGAGAAAGCAAGGCAGACATCATGGGCTCTATAGTGAGTGGTGAAGGAGCTCCCCTGTAGCCCTTCAGATTTGCTTGCTCATGTCTGTAGATGACGGCTAAAAGCATGCACATCTAGAGGGATGCTGGCGTTTTCCCCTCCATATATAACTACTTCAGTGCTTAAATGGTATCTATGGTCAAAAACGAAAAATAAATCTGGATTTATACAGTAATACCTCGGTTTACAAGTAACTTGGTTTGAGAGCGTTTTGCAAGACAAGCAAACATTTCTATAAAATGTTGCCTTGATATACAAGCGACGTCTTGCAATAAGAGCAACATTTTGTAGAAAATCACCACCGAATAAGGCTGAAGCAGTGCGAGCGATGAGTCTGTTTAAGGACAATGCAATGTCACATTGGATAGATTCCTTGTTAAGGTTTCATGAAATGAAAAAGATTCCATTGAGTCAAGAGGTAGCAGTGATTCCGTTAGTGACAGTGAAAGTCATCCTACACAATAATCCTCCTCTCTCTCTCGTCCCCCTCACACCAGCCACAAAGGTAACCGGAAATTGGTTTATTTGTCTTTATATTTTGTACAGTGTTATATTACAGTATTGTAATCATTTTATATGAATATTTTTTGGGTTGTGGAACGAATCATCTGAATTTCCATTATTTCCTATGGGGAAATACGCTTTGATATACAAGCGCTTTGGATTACAAGCATGCTTCCGGAACTAATTATGCTCGTAAACCAAGGTATTACTGTATATTGAATTTACATGAGTCCTATCCCACTCGTAATAACCAGACCCATCTAGAAGTTTGTAAACGTACTTATTGAAGATGCCCATAGGATGTACTTTGTCAATGCACTGGCACCATTTCACTCCACCCTGTGAATATTCCTTGTTTTACAACTACAACTTAATGTCTGAACAATGTAACATTATCACTGCTTGCTGAAAGCAATGCATGATGGGAAATGTGGTCTTGAGAAATAAGGACTGCATCACATCAAGCAGCAGGAAAAGAGACGCAAAGCACGCTGGGAATCCAGGAAGTTGTTGGAAGTGATGGGCAGACAGAAGGCAAACAAAAAGGGATTTTTTTTTCAAGTAAGCTTTGATAATCAAAAGCAACTCTACTATGTGTTCCTATTACAATGTTGATGTTATAACAGGATAGTATATGCTGGGACTTCACAACTACTTAAAAAAGATATGCCAACTTCCTGTTACTGCACAATTCCATGGTCAGGTATCTGAAAGGCCAGCACAGTTGGACTTGAAGGGACCTGAAGGGACCGCTGGCTATCCAGCTCATGTGTCAGTCTCGGACAAAGGAAAACCTCATAAGATCAATCATGACTGGTCCTCTTATCAGGCTATATGGCAATGACTATTCGGATATGCACTGCCAAAAGGGATCCAATTCTTACCTCTTCCTCCAGCCAATCATTGTACTGCACAATCCCTGCCATCACCACATCTGCCCCCTTCATGTAGAATGTGATTTCACCCGTGGAGTCTTCCTGGATTTAACAAAAAAGTACAGCAGGAAGAGGCTTAAGTACGAGAAATTATTTTCAGTACACATAAAACAATTATACAGATTATGAAAGATGTGGGCAGAAAAAAAAATTGCATATCAGGGATGCAATTGCTGTTGTTATCTACTCAGGCCAGACCTGCTCTGCAGCATTATGTGTCATACAAGCCACTCACACTTGTTTATCACAGGACAGACTAGCAAGGAACAGAGAAACTAAAAGAAGGGAAATGGTCTATGATCTGCTGGGCTCATTGCTATGAATAAAATCGTAAACAAAGCTCTCTTATGTGTTTTTAGGTTTAGCTATAGGTATGAGGGCCCATTCGGGCCACATCCAGATCATCTCCAGACCAGATTAGACTAGATTGTTTCCGGATCCAAAAATGCATCCTAATGTATCCCTATGCTATTTCTGGCCTCTGTTCACACCAGCGCAGTCCGTTCCAGACCAGAAAAATACTGCACGTCTCATTTTGTCTAGTCTGGAATGCATGGAAATGCATTTAAAAAACTGCATACAAGCACATGCAAACGCACCTAAAAGTTCATTTTAAGTAAAGAAAAAAAAAGAAATCAGCTCTGGAATATGGCAAAAATGCTGCAAAATGCAATGCAACCCGTTCCAGATCTGGTCCGGAAAATGGTGTGAACCTGCATCCTTTTCTTTGAGCTCATGAGATGCTTCCTGAGAGACACATGGGGGCTGCCATTGTCAATCCCCTGATGAAGTAGCTAGTTGTCTGGTGTGTTCCAGGTAAAAGGAAACAAAGTAAGAGAGTAAACGTGAAACCCAAGAAACAGAATGGGGAGGTAGTACTGGAAACCTCCCTCCATCCCTCGCTCATGAAACCTCATTGACCTTAGTAAATTATTATTAATATACAGGATTTATATAGCGCCAATAGTTTGCACAGCGTTTTACAATATAAGGAAGACATTACAATCACAAGACAAGAGGGTAAGGAGGGCCCTGCCCCTGAGGGCTTACAATCTAAAAGGGAGGGGCCAGTGATACATGAGGAGGTAGCTGTGCGGGGATGATTGTTTGAGAACATGAGTGGTCAGGTTGAGGTGGGATAGGCTTCCCTGAAGAGATGAGTCTTAAGGGATCGCCTAAAGGCAGTCAGTGTAGGAGACAGATGGACAGGTCGGGGTAAAGAGTTTCACAGGATGGGAGAGACTCTAGTGAAGTCCTGGAGGCGAGCATGGGAGGAGTTGACGAGTGAGCTGGAAAGCAGGAGGTCTTTTGAAGAGCGGAGGAGATGGATAGGGCGATACTTTGAGACAAGGTTGGAGATATAACCGGGGGCAGAGTTGTGGATGGCTTTGTAAGTGGTTGTTAATATTTTGAATTTTACCCTTTGGGCTATAGGAAGCCAGTGCAGGCATTGGGAGAGGGGGGTTGCAGACACTGAGGTGAATGAGGTTAGGTGAATGAGTCTAGCAGCTGCATTCATGATAGGCTGAAGGGGGGATATCCTGTGTAGTGGAAGGCCAATGAGGAGGGAGTTGCAATAGTCAAGACGAGAGATAACAAGATGAGTAATTTTGCGGTTTCCTTGGTGAGGAAGGGGATTATTTTGGAGATGTTACGAAGGTGAAGGCGACAGGATTTGGATAGTGATTGGATGTGGGGAAGAAAGGTGAGGTCCAAGTCAAGGATGACACCTTGGCTTGGGGGGAGGGCTGGATAGTTGTGTTAACAATCTCAAGGGAAAAGTTGGGGGAAGGTGCACGGGCAGGAGGAAATATCATGAGCTCAGTTTTTGAAAGGTTGCGTTTTAAGAAATGTTGCGACATCCAGACTGAATATTGCCTATTAGTGATAGAGAGAAGGCAATGCCCGTTAGGCATAAAACTCCATTCCATCCCTGTATTGTAGGTCCCAAATATCTAAAAACAGCCCTCACTTAAAAGGAGAACTATGAGGTGAGTGCTTTTCACTCACCTCATAGTTCTAGCCAACCTGTGACAATGAGTCGGCTCGGGAAGTGAGCGAACACATACCGGCGTTCGCTCACCTCTCGATCCTGTCACAGCTCTCTGCCGTGACAGGGGAGGGGCTGGATTCCCCCCTCCCCGCCAGCGCTGACTGGCGGAACGGACGGGGGAGGGGGCGGGTACAGCTGGCTCTGCCTCTAGATAGGCAGAGCCAGCTGTCAGTCACGCAGCTGGGCAGATCCCGGCACAATTGTCGGGATCCGCTTCAGCTGCGGCGTCTCAGTATATAGTGAGCTACAGCTCGCGGTATACTGAGCCTATGGTGACGGGAGGACGCTAGTTTGTGTCCTCCCGTTACCCTAAGGAGAACTATGGGGAAAAGACTTAACCCCATAGTTCTCCTTTAATGTATTATGACCTAAGTGATCACCAGGGACATTCCAAAACGTACACATGAGCGTCAGGGACGCTTCCCTCTGAATACCAGAGTGGAGATGGCATACACGGTAATTTAAATTAGGGATTGTGTGCAACGCACCACAAAGCCTATTGTCTCCAGATAAGAGGCGAGAAGGTTACCGCTGCTGTAATCAGCTGTTAAATAGCTGTTATTATTGAAGGTGTCTAATGACATGTATGTAGGAAATGGCGCACAGGGCCAGTTTCCTGAGCATTAATTCTGCCACAGTAAACCTCACGAGCCGCTCCAACATAAATAGAATGTCAGCGGACCCTCGTGTGAGTCACTTCCTCCTCCGGGGGGTTCAGGGGCAGGTTAGAACTTTCTCATGTTTACAAAGTATCACAACATCAAACCTTGTAAAAGAACACCTATTATATATAAATGCAAAACTTTCCCACAGTGTCGCTGTAAAATCTGCAACCCCTGCATCACGGCCTAGGTGACTTCCCTACTTTCTATTCTTTGAACTCCAGTAGAAATACATATACACATAAATAAACTGCACTGAGGTTTCCTGTTCATATGTTCCTGTTTAGCCTCTAGAGAAAAAAAAGACGCTGCCTTAGAAGATAGACGTCAAAAAGCAGAGGAATGCAGGGGGTGCAGATCTTTTAGAGGCTGATTTATAAACCATTCACACAGCAAAGAGCTCTGTGAATGGTTTGTATATCAGCCCCAAAGTGTACTTCATATATTTCCAGTGCTGTATTCAGGGCCGGATTCCCGGCAAGGCCACCGAGGCCCGGCCTCAAGGTGGCACAGGTTTGAAATCACCCCGACGCCCGGAAAATGTAGTGCCGGGCGGTAATTTGCTTTGCACAAGCAGAGCTAAATGTAGAAGAGGAGAAATTACTTGTTTCTTTACAAGTGTTCTCGGCGATGAAGAATACTTGTAATTAGTCTGCCGGACCGCCATTTTGTTCATTCAGTTGCTCCAGGTTTCGTCTGTTCCAGGTTTGATAAATTCCCCCCAATGTGTTATCAAATGCTTCATCACCCAAAATTCTAAAATGCGTACAAAACCCCCCATTTGTTTTGGCATATATCCGCACAGATCAATGTTCACAGATATTCGCAGGGAGAATGGCCCTGCAAATTGTTTACCAATAGACCGTTTTTTAAATAGACCCCTAAGACCAAGGGTGGGCAACTCCAGCCCTCCAGCTGTTGTGGAACTACAAGTCCCAAGTGGCATTGCAAGACAAAGTTAAAGGCATGACTCCCAGAGGTATGCTGAAATTAGTAGTTAAAGCGCAGCTGGAGAGCCGGAGTTGCCCACCCCTGCCTAAGAGTATAGTATGTGGGAAAGCCCCTTGAAACCTAATTTTAAAAAAATTTCTTTTTTGGGCATACACTAGCATCTTAGATATTAAACCCTATACATATTTGAGGGCCCCTGTAAGCCAAACAAGAGGAAAGATATCACTTAAAATATTTGCTTTAGCGTTCGTACTAAAAACAATTGTTCCTTATATATGCTAAAATGCAATATCGCATTTTGTGTCCATTTTGTCTGTTAATAATAATAACAACAACAATAATAATAAATAAGGTATTAATTCAAACAACCTACTAAATAAATGCTTGACATGTCCTGAACGAGGAGTAAATATAGTTCAGTATAGAGATATAGTTCAATAAACACATACTACAGAACTTCATCTGCTCCTTGAGGTTTTAACTAACACACACATATATATATATAGCACTTACCCGAACAATGATTCCCATCCTCCTGCTTTCGTAGGTGAAAGGGAAAATCTGAAGGATGCTGAAATTTATGATCTGGCCACCAGGTGTCCTCAGCTGCATCGAAGATTGATCTCTTCCCACCAGCGTCAAGCCCACACTTTCTGTCCATTGTACCAGGGCCACCTAGGTGCAGGAGAGGTGAAAGGTCAGTGCAGGGGTCAACAAAAGGTATACAGGCTATGAAATAGTTCTTCATTATGGGATATAACAGGCAACAATGCTGGGCTGTTTCTAAGGGCTTGACTAGAACATTTATTTAACAAATCCGCGACTAAATAAAATGTATAGTTTTTCTGTTTTTTTTAAAGTCATTTAAGGTATTCATTAGAGGAAATGTTGGGACTTTAATTCTGATTTTGCTAATTTGCCTGTCAGTCTCTGATCTATATCTCAATTGACTGACTCAGGGACCTGGAACAAGCATGCAAAAAAGTCAAGTCAGAACTCCAGATCTGCAGTTTTCTCAGGTCAGTGACACAGTAAGTAATGAAGCCTTGACAGCCAAGCTATTAGCATTTTCACAAGGAGAGGTCAGTGATGATCTTAGCATAGCTCTCTTCTGAGAACCCGGAGGCTTCTGGGTGACACAACAAGCAAGACAAATAGCAAAACCTGCCAAAGACTATAGCCCTCTAACATTAAAATCAAAGCTGGAGAAAAAGGTTTTCACTTTGAGTTATACTTTAAATACAATTAAAGTGACACTAAAAACTCAGGCGTTAAATCCTAAAAATACATTCAAGTCCCTTAACAATTAACAAAAATGTATCTTATTTGTGTATCACTCGGCTGTAGATCCTCCAATCATCTCTGAATTGGTGCTGACACTGTCCTTCCTTCTGGAGGGGGGCTACTTGTGTTCCCCATGGTCCCTGTGTGTGTTGTAAAGTAGTCACCGCTCCAAGCTCGCTCCCGGTGAGCTTTACAATTCCAATACTAATGAGTAAACTAAACATGAGATTGTAGTCCATCCCGGGAGTGAGCTTGGAGCGGTGACTACTTTACAACACACACAGGGACCATGGGGAACAGACGTAGCCCCCCTCCAGAAGGAAGGACAGTGTCAGAGATGATTGGAGGATCTACAGCCGAGTGATACACAAATAAGATACATTGTTGTTAATTAAGGAACTTGAATGTAATTTTAAGATTTACCTCCGGAGTTTAATGCCATTTTAAACACACCGCTATCATAATTGGCTGAAACCGGTCTTTATACTGGTTTTGCATCACCCTGCACACCAGATATCAGACTGAGAGTGGGAGGTTTTGTACTACTTCCATATCAAGCTGTGCTGCCAAATAGGTGTTTTTAGGCACTAGAATTTGGGAGGTTCCATGTCCAATGAGCAGCAGCCAACCAAGAAAAATGCAAAGTTACAACAGGAAATAAGGGTGTCACTTTCCGCAGCGTGCAGCAAGACAGAGGGTATGTCAATCACAAGAGCGGCGCTCCACTTTAATGGCCGTAAAATTAGTTGACGCCGTATAAGTGAATAACACCAACACGTGGGCTCTCGTCTTTCTCTACATCAAAATCTGTTTAATAACTTTCCATAATCCTCTTATTTTTCCTTACAAGCCTCTGAAGTTTCTGGTTGATTTATTGTAATAACAAGGCCCAATCAGTCATCTTGATTTAATGTCCTGTCAGATTAATCCTTTTCAATGAAAACGAGCCGGTTTAATCGTACAACAGTTTACATGTCCCTGCTTCCTTCCGGAGCCTGAAAACAATGCAGATGTTTATACAGGATGAAGAGGCTCGATTAATGCCACATGTTTCACCTAAATACAATCACAGCAAACCAGGAAACACCCCTCTTGGCTCAACAAATTTCTCACCTAATTTTTAATACCTCCTATTTTTTTTCTTGCCCCGTCAACTCGCAAATTGCAGAGCCCTGCCTTTAAAAGACTGATTAATCATTAGACTTATTTCAAAGAGTGGAAGAAATTAAAAACACGTTTTTTTTTAAGGTTTGTGTTGTGGCCAGTTACCAAGATTCTCTTTTTTATTTTTTATTTTAGAAGGTCACCAGAATGAGACTTAATGGCAGATGATATTTAACCTCTGGAGAGCAAAACTGTATTCATAACAGTGCAGAAAAGCGACACTAGAGGGCGCTCCTAGCCTAGACAAACACTAACCGACTGCTTTTTAGGAAAGGGTTATTTATTCCGGGCTCCCAGCAATGCTGCATTTCCTGAAAGTAATTGCAAGGGAGTTAAAGTCAACACAAATAGTCTCACCATTAGTAGGAACCTTATAATTACAAGGGCCAACTGACTACTTATTTTACAAGCAACTGTGCAAGAGGTTCAGCAGTGTTAAAAATGAAGGGGGTCTAGTAGGGGGCACTGTGATTATCAGAGACCTTAAAATACCTCATGGGACTTGTAGTTCTACAATAGCTGGAATGCCGAGGTTGCTTGCCCCTGCTAATTACATTCACCTTGGCCAACTGACGACTTACTTTACAAGCAACTATGCAAAAGGTTCAGCAGTGTTAAAAATGAAAGGGGTCTAGTGGGGGCAGATATGTTCCTATATACCAGGGGTAGTTAACCTTGGCATTCTAGAGCTGCACTGAAAATACATATCCCATCATGCCTCTGCCTCTGGGTGTCATGCCTATGGTTATCAGAGACCTTAAAATACCTCATGGGACTTGTAGTTCCACAATAGCTGGAATGCCGAGGATGCTTACCCCTGCTAAATACATTCGCCTCGACCAACTGATGACTTACTTTACAAGTAAATATGCAAAATGTTCAGTAGCGTTAAAAATAAAGATGCTGTAGTGAGAACAGATATTTTCTGTATACCAGGACTACCACCGGTATATAGGAACAGGATGACTGATGTGGCACTACAGAGCTGTGCTGAAACAATTGGAAATTCTATCATGCCTCTGGTAGTCATGGCTATGGCTTTCATAGTCTTGCAATGCCTTATGGGACTTGTAGTTCCACAACAGCTGGAGAACAAATATTGCCAACCCCTGCTATATATATTTACCCTCCTATCCATTCATTGCTGATCTCCTGTGGGTTTTTTTGCAGCCACTTCCTGTCTACCTGCAGTCCAGCGATAGCTGCATGGCATTGCTCAGGGCAGGTTTTCCTATGGTGACAACAGTGGCACATGGCTGCATAATTGCATTGGCATGGTCGCTTGTAGAAATGTAAAAATGCTGAAAACTCCTTTTGAAATAAATTTTAGTGATTGGGTTTGCATTTACTTTAAACACCTAACCGTGCACCTAATTGGACCCTAAAAATGAACCCCAACATGTAACCTGACCATTAAATTTAACCCCTAATACCTAACCAAAACTTAAAGCACAGTTATGCACACAAAGCATAGCTGTTTTACATACCAAAGGATTTGTATTTCTGTCTATCCAGTCTTGAGACATGCACAGCTCTGCCACACAGCACAGCTCTGTCTACAGGGCAGGACTTCATAGTCTGGAAGCCACAAAAAAAAAAAAAAAAAAAAAAAAAATTGTGCCTTACTTCTTTGAGTGCTTTGGCATGATGTCTATTGCCATAAGAAGAGGAGAGGCCTGGGTAGAGCAAACTGAATGACATTCCTCTAGAAGAGATGGGACACAGCAGCTCGCAGGTCGCTTTTTACCTACAAGCCTCCTTATCTCCGATCGGACTGTATCCATTTACTGTAGCGGACGGACAGCTCTGCCCGGGGGTCTGAAATCGATCCCTCCACGAGACAAGGCTTCCGAAAGGGAGCGAGCCGCAGAGGAAACAAGTTTAGGAAATCTTGCCTTCTGTTACAGGAAATGAATTTTATGCCAGCTGCTGGGAGAAGCGAAGGTATGAAGAGACTGAACAAACAGTTTTTTATTTCATTCCGAGTCTCTCCTTCCTGGTTATGTTAATATTAGATTACTGAAGAACAGCCCGGCGCTGCTGCTTTCACACGGAGGTCTCGGAGACAGATTGGCTGGGCAGACAATTCCATCAGACGAGGACGAGGGGGGATGAAATAACAGATCGGTTCCAGGTGGAAGGGAAAAATGGGATCGCTAGATTGAAATCTCAGTACAGGTGGTTCTGTGCGCTGGGTTCCAGTTCTTTAATCGCTGAGCTGCAAAGTCTACCAGCATATGAAGTGACACATGCTCATCAAATCGGGTCATTTCATAATATATTTTTTCTATTTGGATTGCAAAGGAAACAATCAGACAAGCTGTAACATTGTTGAACTGTATTCAATGAGGAAGAAGTACGTGCAATATATGCAACATTGTTTCCAGAACCAAATGTATAATTTATAAAGAGTTGTTGAAGCAATATCTGTAAAACCCCAACCACTAAAATCTGAACTGCTCTTTAACTCATTCATGTTTCTGTAATCCTTTGAAATCCTTAAATAATCCCGGGGATGCTGCCGTGAAGGTACTTGTTCAGGCACTTCCTGCTAACTTACTGTATCGGCCAAATGTGCTCCTGTGTTGTCCCCTTGTCACATGGGCCTTCAATGGAGACTACAACATAGTCTCCATTGAACATGTGCTGAGAAATGTCACGCAGCATAGGCAGTCCCTATAATGAGGCAGCATTGAGTCATGGGGGGGGGGGGGGTTGACAGGAGTATCTCTTCGGCCAGAGCGTCCCAGGTTGCTAAGAGCTCCTATTTATTTTACTACAGGTATTTATATAGCGCCGACAATTTACGCAGTGCTTTTACATAGTGTACATTCTCAACAGTCCCTGCCCTCAAGGAACTTACAATCTAAGGCCCCTATATCACATGTATACATACAGGGCCAATTTACCTACCAGCATGTCTATGGAGTGTGGGAGGAAACCAGAGTACCCGGAGGAAACCCACACAGCACAGGGTGAACATGCAGATAATCTCCTTGCAGATAGTGATCTGGCCGGGATTCGAACCGGGGACCCCCAGTGCTGCAAGGCAGAAGCGATAACCACTACGCCACTGCCCAACTTGTGACACTTTGGTCGGCTGGGTGGGACACCAGACAGAGCCGGAGCCAGAGGTAACGTATGCCACCATCCAACCAACAGCCACCCAATCTCCCATCCAACCCCCCACCCCCCTCCTTCATTAACGTGCACCCCCAGCATCCCCAACAACTCATCCACCCACGCCCCCCCTTCCCAGTAACCAGAACCGCCCCCACCAGCCTCATGCAGGGAAACCCCTTACATGCAGACATCGCCAATGGCAAAAAAGGATAAAATTAAGTCTAAAAAATAAAATACTTAAAATGCAATAAATTCTTCTCATCACATTTACATCACCTACAGAGCACCTGATTTTTACCAGCACTTTGACTAGTCGGGCTGGAAATAATAGGCCATCATTGATGTTATAAAATGAGTAGCCGGGATCATCTGTGTGTTACATAAAAGGGAATACCTCATCAGGGCTGGACGCCTGGTACACCCGGCAGGAATCCTCGAACTGGCGCTCAGCCTCGGCCTGGTCCGTCACTCCGTTGGACTCGTAAGAGGGTGTGACATTGTGACAGAGCGCGATGGCTTTCACCGCCTCATACACGCGACTGCTCATAGTCTTCCGCACTTTGGTGGTCCCGCCTTTCTGGGCCGGCGGGTCCTGTGAAGGCTGCAGGGAATAAATAAAATATAGGTACAATTAGATTCCACAGATTCTGTATTTTGTGACCTTTTTTTTTGGCACTAGATAAATAAAACATTCTAGTGACTGGACGTTCCCTCATTTCTATCTGTATACATGATACATCTGTGTAATAAGTGAATCTTCTCTGAGTAACAGAAGCTTTATCAGATCCTCGCAATAAAACTTGTCAGGTGATACCTTCCATTAGAAACAGATTTTAGGAACAAAGAGTAGGAGACCCTGCGGCCGGGAACGGATTGCCCTTTATGGATATGATTAATGGAAACACAAACCAGATGCCCCCGCACTGCACATTTCCATGAAATATCGTGCAGCTATTTTTATTTTTTTTATTTTTCTCTGCCTGCAAACTCCTGCTGTAATTAGACAATTACTTAATTAGGCTGGTCACCCAGCGGACACCGGGGTGGCATTTCCTGCTCTGTTAACCTCTGGTGTCACAGGCAGAAAAGAGTTTCACTTCCAGGTCAAAAGGTCTCAGAATGGAAATAATAATTGAGGCAATGAATCAGAACTACAGTCACTTATTGCTTTATGCGGCCAAAATCGTCCCTTTAATTAAATTGTGAAAGGCCAAAACAGAACTGGGAGGTCCGGGGCGCTGCTGGGGTGTTAAAGGTACGGCCTTGTAAGTGCGAGTCCTGGCTCCGCCCCCTGGTAGAGCCCTGCATGGAACATATTAGTCAGCATGTAGTTCAAGCAAGCCCAGGAGGGGGTATCAGGCGCTTCCCTGGTGCCATAAGAGACTAGAAGATGATAGAGTCCGCAAGCACACATCTTACATCAGTTCTTTATGGAGCTACTTTGCGTCAGTGTCAAATGCATACCAGCAATGATAATGTACTTATTTACAGTGTTTAATGCCAAAAACTGATATTCCCACAACAAAAGAGATTTGCAAAAACCGACCCTGCAATTCACGGGAGGCAGAGGGTCACCTAGTATTATGGAGCAAAAAGCGGTCAGCTTCAAGTCTGAAGGTGACAGATTTTTCTCCATTCAGATCGGCTTCTATCAGGTTACAAAGCAGGGAAAGCCTGTGTAACCTGTCATTGATGGAGAGCTGCCTGTTAATTACAGGCAGCTCCGCATCCGGTTTTTGACAGGTGGTTAGGTTACACAGCCCTGGGCTTCCCCACTGCTTGTGTAACCTAACTATTGAGGCAAGAGCTGTCACAGCCTCTACTCTGGGTTAGAGGTGTGAGCGCTGAGGATGGCTTGGACCAATGGCAAAGCACCATTGGTCCAAGCTGTCCAATCAAAAAAAGAAAAAAAAAACCCACTGAGGCCATCAATCTCGATGCCTCAGCAGTGACGAGCAAGTGAGGGACAGGGAGGCTCCTCCCTTCCTCCTTCACACTAGCTTGGGAGCGGTTGGGGCGGGGCTTCAGCGGGCAGGGCTTCGGCGGGTGGGCAGGGCGTGCTGGGGAATGCCTCACCCGGAAACCAGAGGTACCGCACGTCACTGCTGCAATTGATCAAATCTGCCATGCCCCCATAAAGTGAAGCCCAGCTCCAGGCAAACCTTTTTCAAGTCGTCTGATCCTCTGTTGGGTTTTTTATTGCCCTAGCAAGATTTCCCCTCTACCAGCAACCGCAAAAACCTGACAGGGCATCAAATCCTTCATTCTTTATAAGAGCTGGGCTGGTTTTAACTATTATGATCATTTACTGGCATGAGGGTACAAAGGCCGTACTGTTTCTTTGTTTCAGAGTAATGATTATTTAAATAAAAGTTATGACTGTATACAAATACAGGAAGTGGAGAGAGGTGGGTTCTGTATTTACTAGGAGTTGCTCTGACACAGGAACTGGCCATGCTTGCACCAGGCTAGTCCCACTTTCTATTACAGGTAGACTGTCAATTGTTTCAGCTGCCTTTTTTTTCTCCTTATTATATAAACAGCAGACGCATGTTACATTAGCTGAAGGGACACTATATTGCACGTACCTGTGTGTATACACTGAATATATGGCTCTGTACTTCATCCATGGTGTCCATCCCATATGCCACTGTACCCAGGTGAAGTCGCTTGAAGACCATCTCGTTCTGGGTCAGCGTTCCTGCAAGAAATGGCAAACTAGCAGTTGTCATTGTCCAAAAACAGGAGAGACGTAAAGTACTACATCAAAGGCATAAACTAATACAAGGTGAGGAGGTGTAAACAGCAGTGAAACAACCAAGACAAGTTTACTTGTGTGTGCTCTTGCCTAATGAAAGGTGGAAAATGGGCTGGCTAATAGGAAATAAATTATGTCTTCAACCATACCTATAATGTATAAATAAATGAAGGAAAAATAAATAAATTTGGCATAAAGTAAAGGAAAGGAATTCATCTGAAAAATAGTCCCATATTGGATCCTCTGTTAACCACTTGATGCAAGCTAAATTCAGCATTAAAGGTGAACTATGAGGTCAGTGTTTTCCCCCATAGTTCTCCTTAGGGTAACGGGAGGACACAAACTAGCGCCCTCCCGTTACCCTAAGCTCAGTATACCGCTAGCTGCAGCTCACAGTATACCGAGACGCCGCAGCGGATCCCGACATCGACGTGGAGATCCGCCCAGCTGCGTGAGTGACAGTTGGCTCTGCCTATCTAGAGGCAGAGCCAGCTGTACCCGCCCCCTCCCCCGTACGTTCCGCCAGTCAGCACTGGCGGATCGGAGCCGGGAGGGGGGAATCCAGCCCCTCCCCTGTCACGGCAGAGAGCCGTGACAGGATCGAGAGGTGAGCGAACCCGGTATGTGTTCGCTCACCTCCCGATCTACTGAGCCGACCTGTCTCATTGTCACAGGTCGGCTAGAACTATGAGGTGAGTGAAAAGCGCCCCCCACATAGTTCTCCTTTAAGTACAACAGAGCAATACATGTGCCCAGTCACAGTTCCTACCAGTTTTGTCCGTCAGTAAATAGGAGATCCTTCCGAGCTGTTCCGGAATGGTGCTGGATCGGACCACTGTTCCTGGGATCTTGGGGTCCCTGCGGATCATCCAGCTGTAGACGATTTTCCCCATGTCCAGATTCACCCGCAAACTGCACAACATGAAACATGACAGAAAGTAAGTGACATATCTAAATCAGAACGGAAAGTCCGGCATGTGTGAGTTCTAAAAATGAGCCCGAATAAGGTGCCTTGTGGATTCAATCTGCACTGTGATTTCCCCTACAGATGGCTACGAAAGGCTTTTCACATGGATTTCTACACATCACATGAAGAATAATTCATATGCAAGCGTTCTTAGATGACAATCGCCACGATACCATTTGTTAGTTTGCGTCTTAAAATAATAAACGTTACCAACTACATATTTTTTATACGTGGGAGGAACTGCTTTGAAACTATATGGAACTGCCACCTGAGAATTTTATAGACCTTCAATGTTTTTTGGAGAAGAGAAAAGGACAATATTGTTTGATTGATCTTCAATGCTAAAGATGGTTTTTGTCACAAGTCTAATGAGCACAATCCAATATCAGAGCCAACCCAAGATGGACGCCTATTGGAAGAGGATACACTCAGCTACAGAGTTAAGATGGTCACACTTGTTACTTTTATATTTACAGCTTTGCACTAAGAGTCTAGCTGAATGGATAGTTTAGGCAGACAGTCGCACTACAAATCTGTTACATCTCATCTCTCTAAAAGGTGCCCATACACCTGCCGATTATCGTACAGCGACAGATCTCGCGATCGTACGATAATCGGCAGGTGTATGGGCAACATGCGAACGCTTCTACTGTAAGGTTGCACGCCTTTTGTCTTACGAGCACGTTGGAAAACCAAACCTGCCGAAAATCGTACGATTTTCGTCGGGTTGGTGGCGTGCTCGAAAGACGAATGCCCCACGGGCCGCTGTGCACAGGCGCACACTGCCCGCTCAGCACTGCAATCATCGGAAGCCCTCCCCTCAGCGTGGAGGGCTTGCGATGATCGCAGGTACGATCTGCCTGTCCAAGATGGGCAGATCGTACGTCATTTTAATCACCTTACAACCATCGCACAAGGAAAGTCGTGCGATGGTTGTAGGGTGTATGGGCAGCTTAAAGACGGTACATCTAATGCAGATTTTTATAGCGGTAGTTAGTACTAGCACTATTCTATCGGGTGTAACGAGCTTTACTCTAATTCGCCTTTACTGTTTTTTGCACCATGTATTTGTGCATATTCATTATTCAGTTATACAGATAGTCATAATAATTTTGCAACAGTATGCAAAGGTCAGAGAATAGATAAAACCTAGATCGACCTGGACTCTGAGGCTTCTGAGCTGAGAGAAATATATACTGTACAATATACCTATGCTGTCAGCTTTGTATCGCTTTGAGTACCTGTCATTGCTCTATCTCCAGCTCTGCTCCTCACCTGATGGGGATGATGTTGGAAAAGAGAAGGAGGAATCGGAGTATCTGGAGGTACCAGCGACCAGCAAAATGCTGCAGAGCCACCATGACCAGCGACACGACCACAAGAGCGCTGAACAAGATCTTCGTCAGACAATTCACCTCCAGGTCAAAGAGCCCGATCTACAGGTAAAACAGAACACCAGTTACAGTCCAAATCATTCAGAACAGTGCCTGACATAAGGACCCATGGCTACATTATTCAAGCTTTCACCATCTGCAATTCTCCAGTGCAGGATGGATGTCTGCTTGGCTGCTGTCAGGTAACAGTTCCTTTTTGGGTACTTATCTTTACCACCTCGATAAGCAGCAGCAGCCAATCAAAAGTGAGCAACAGGAGAATATCAAATTCTAATTCGCCTTTACTGTTTTTTGCACCATATATTTCTGCATATTATCATTTATTACTTAACTGTCTTATGCTGATCATTACGTAAAGCAGTTTTACAATAAAAGCAGTGTAGGTATCTGAGGTCATTTTAATGCAGCCATCTTAAAAAGATCATCCGAGCTGCAGTATGGTACTACTTAAAAGGAGAATTATGAGGTGAGTGATTTTCACTCAGCCTCATAATCTGAGCCGACCTGTGACAATGAAGCTGTCACAGGTCAGCTGAGTAGATCGGGAATTGAGCGAACACATACCGGCCCTCGCTCACTTCTCGATCTATCCTTGCAGAGAGCCGTGACCGTCACTCACAGCTCCCTGCAGGGATCCGCCCCCCACTGTCCGATCCTCCAGCGCTGACTGGCGGAACGGACGGGGGAGGGGGCGGGTACAGCTGGCTCTGCCTCTAGATAGGCAGAGCCAGCTGTCACTCACGCAGCTGCGTGGATCCAGACAGTAATGTCGGGATCCGCTCCGGCTGCGGCGTTTCAGTATACAGGGAGCTGTAGCTCGCGGTATTCTGAGCTTTGGGTGACGGGAGGACGTTAGTTTGTGTCCTCCCGTCACCCTTAGGAGAACTATGGGAAAAAGCCCTAACCCCATAGTTCTCCTTTAAAGTTATGTAATCCACAGGAGCTCATTTATGAAAGGTAGCACTGTTCCTCCTGGGTACCAGCTCATTTAATTGATGAAGAAATCTGGTTGCTATGGGCATAAGTTCCACATCTCTTTGCTGTCCCGGATAATTTTTCAAACTGAAACAAAAACTTTCTGCCTCAACGTAGGGGGTCCTTATAACAGCCAGCGTCAGAAAATAAAAAGTGGTTCCCCATGTACCCCAAACAAGTACCTTACTGCGTGGATTGGAGGTGTTCATGACACTTCGCTGCTCTCGGCCTGTGTATATAACCACCCCGACCACTGTGCCTGGAATGGAAAATACAAGTCAGAGCCACGGCAAACAACTGGAATTAATAGTTACACTTTGCATTCCCATATATTCTTTTCCATCTCTCAGGGCTGCTCTGGGACGATAGAGTGTTGGCGCCCCCTGGTGATAAAAATCATGTTCTCCATTCCAGATTCATTTTGAAAGTGGGACTTCAAAAGAAAAAAAAATATGGACTATGAACCGGGAAAGAAAACAGCGGCTTGTGTGAACATGCTAATGTTTTTAATGGGGGTTTCCATTCTGAAAAATAGAGACACGATAGGCTGCCATCACCCATCTATGTTGATTACTTTTATACTCTGACATCAAAGGATAGTACGATACAAATATATTGTTTGCTGCTTTTAAATGTTTTAAGCAGAGCATTACTTTTGTGCAAATCTCAACAAGAACATTAAAAACAAAAAGAAGAAGAAGAGCCACAAAAAATATTCCAACCCCAATAATGCAGCTTCTCCACCACATAAGGGGGCACAACCTTTTTAATAGAAGCTTTATAAACACTATAAAAGTGTTTTAGTAACATTCACAGGTAAATATGTAAATGTTATATATTATCAGATCTGAATGCATAGAAAATGTAAGGGGCTGATGCAAAAGGGCTTTGCCCAGCCTATTGTTGAATGAATGCCGTTCGCACAGCAATACAGCCACTAAATGGAGCCATCTACAACTCTGCCCCCTGCTACATCACCAACCTCGTCTCAAAATATCACCCAAACCATCCTCTCCACTTCTCTCAAGACCTCCTGCTCTCCAACTCTCTCGTCATCTCCTTCCATGCCCCAACCTACATCCCTGACCTCATCTCAAAATATTACCCAAACCGTCTTTTTCTCTCCTCTCAAGACCTCCTGCTCTCTAATTACCTCCTCCCATGCTCACCTCCACGACTTCTCCAGAGTGTCTCCCATCATCTGGAACTCCCTATCCCAATCAATCCATTTATCTCCTATTCTGTCCACCTTTAGGCGATCCTTGAAAACTCACCTTTTAGGGAAGCCTATCCCACCTCAACAAAATAACTGTCCATATACTTCTTCCATTAACTCATCCCATACAATTCCTACCTTTTGTTTCACCTGTCCTTCCTGCTAGATTGTATGCACTTAGAAGCAGAGTCCTCCTAACCCGCCTGTATTTAAATTGTTTTGTAACGGTATTGTCCAGCCCCATTTTGTAAAGCGATGCACAATCTGTTGGCGCTATATACATACATAATATTAAGAGGGCTCTATTACAGGTGAAACTCGAATAATTAGAATATCGTGCAAAAGTAATGGCAGTAAGTGCTGCAAAAGGGGCCCAAACCAAGTACTGAGTACATATGCATGCTTGTACTTTTCAGAGGTCCGATATTGTTCTATGTACAATCCTTGTTTTATTGATTGCATGTAATAATCTACTTTTTTGAGGTCGTGGATTTGGGGTTCTTGGGGTTTTCATGAGCTGTAAGCCATAATCATCACAATGATGACAAATCACGGCTTGAATTATCTTGCTTTGCATGTAATGAGTCTCTCTCATATATTAGTTTCACCTTTTAAGTTGCATTAGTGAAATAAATGAACTTTGCACGATATTCTAATTATTCGAGTTTCACCTGTATATCTAGTGCAATCTACCGAATGTAATGCTGTGCGAATGGCATTCACCCAACTTTAGGCTGGGCAAAGCCTTTATAAATCACTACCCCTAAGTGTTATAATGGCGGGATACATTTTCCAAGATACAGTGGACTTCCTGTCCAGTTGTGCCACAGCAGAATAAAGCAAAGTGTTACTTTGAAGAAAAACTTTGAGAAAAAGGCAAAAACTTGCGTTGGAAACTCATCTCATCATCTTTATTGATGCGTCTATCCCCATTGTGGATACTCCCTCACTTCTTGTGTGGTCACTGGAACAAGACATGTGAGGAAATCTCGCTGTTCCACCCAAAATGTCAGCAGTTGTTGTCACATCTGCTATTTTTCTACTATGCTGTGGCTAGCCTGTCATTTCATCTCCTGCTGCTCAGGTTTATTCACAACCCTTAGCTGAATCAGTAAGAGGACTGCATACCCATAACTGTCTATATTATACAAAGCCCTGAAGATTCACAGGGAGACAATGAGTAGGCACGACTATATTTATATTATATTTATTTGTAACCTAAAGATTTTTCATTTAAAATATTAAACTTTATAAGCCTGTAAAGATTCAAAAAAAATAATGAAAACAATTGACAAAAAAAAAAACTTTTATCCCTTACATCTTTTTATAGATTTCTGTCATAGAACTGATTAAAGATTTCCATTGATGTCAGATATCTAATAATCTCTACACATTTGTGAACATGCTTATTACCAGCTCCTGCACACAAAGTAACTCCTTTGTTTTAGGTCCACCGGCCCTTTAACTCTCATTATTAAAATCACTTCCTGTCCATCCAGCACACGTGAAGATAAAACTGGGATGGCGATCACTTTTGGCCAGCCATCAGTTATAAAATGCCCCCCGGGGGAGGACTGGCTGTCATCTTTGTTCCCTTGAGGTGTCAGCTCGATCCAAAGGGAGAAGAAAAAAAAAACTAATTTGTGGGACTAATTTTCTCAATGGCAGAGTCAATTATTTCCAATTACAGACAAATTAATGAAGGGATTAAATTGTTAACATGCTTTTTCAGAGCCCCAGGAATGTTTGTGTTCACCTGATGCGATGACGGTGCTGGCCCACAGTGTGTTCTCGATGCTTAAACTCTCGTTTATGGGGGGATCACTGTCTTCCTGAGGGGAGAGAATATATACAATGTACCAGTGCAGGAAATAACAATAGGCACACTAAGCTAAAGGCATGCAGAGGAGAGATGGTAAAGCAAAGTACGTAGTCAGGGCCAGGCCGGGCAGTAAGCAAAAAGAGGCAACTTTGCATAGAATCATCCTCACATATGCAGATGAATAAAACTATGCCAGCACAAAGATATTAGAACACCAAACACAGGCTGGTGGAAAACTCTGTATTCACCCGAGTGAAGGTCCCAGCAAAATTGTGGATGTCGATATTCGGTTCCTCCGCATACACATAAGATCGGATCTGCAGCAAATCCTGCAATACAAGAAATCCAGTGTAAAGGCCTACAATATTATTATTATACAGGATTTATATAGCGCCAACAGTGTGCGCAGTGCTTTACAATATAGGGAAGACATTACAATCACAATACAATTCAAGACAAGATGGTAAGGAGGGCCCTGCCCCTGAGGGCTTACAATCTAAAAGGGAGGGGGAAGTGATACATGAGGAGGTAGCAATAGCAAATAGCAATGGCAAAACATTGTGTATTCTGGTAACTGTATGGGGTTAGTACCTGTAATAAAACCAGTCAGCATAAGAATTATTTATTTATTTTTTAATTCACATGTCTGTCATTTTCTCCATATATACGGGCAGGCCAAGCTGTCCACCAAAAGTAACAGTTACAGGGATGGAGGCAAACCATATAACACTGTAGGGTGTACATACAGTACAATGGTCATATTTTATTAATATGGTTTAACAACCCCTCTTTTAAAATAAAACTGTTGTTAAAGCTACCCCCCCCCCCCCCCCACCCATCAACATTACATTTTCAATTACATATCTAGACATTTTTTCATTACTTATTTTATCCCAGTGACATATCTGGGTCTCTGTGCTGCTCTATGCAATGCAATTTTCCCTCTCTCACTGTTACATTGTGAGATGAAACATGTCCCATAATTGTTTCTATTGTGGATTATACCGATATAACTATAAAAGTGCCACATAACATGCAAACAAAAGGTCTATATGTAACACTCGTGTTCCTCATCAAATAGAGACAGACGGTATGGTAATGTATGTACGTTAGCAATACCCAGTCTTGTTTACTGAAGCATTGGACAGTACCCTGTGTGTATCGAAGAAACCTAGAAAGCAGAATCTGATTAGTTGCTATGGGCAACACCGATACGTAAAAGGGCTATTCTTAATGTCTTAATCTTCGCTGGGGATTTGTAATTTATGCATTTTGTTTTTGAAGACTCGCAGGACGCAGGAACATATATTACTACAGGACCCATGACATAAGAAGGCGTTGTGTGACTTAATCTGCTATTATCTAGCCAAAAACTAAAATGCCATGTTCCTAAAAAGGTACCCTTCACCCCTGGCTGGAAAAATGACAAGTATACAGTTGAAGGACAAAAGTCACCTCTCATTTAAGGTGAGTTCTGCTTTACTGGGAGGCAATGTATTCTAGCACCTGTTCTGCACCCCTTCCACACCAGATGCAGGTAACATCTCTGCACCCGTAGAAGATACAGATGCATCACTGGGCTGTTTATATCATTTGCCTGCAAGCGTCAGCCGCTTTGCTACTTGTGGTCACAACATAAAAGGCGCAGTCTCTTTTACTGGTCTGATGAGTAAAAAAGCCCTTATATCTGTATCTTTAGCTTTTATTAAGCTCCCCTGTATGCAGTGTTTTTCTATGCCGGCAGCCGCAGCGTATGCAGCGATCACTGTGCCGTGTACAAACTCTAAACATCTGTATGCCCTCAGGGCAAAGCTGATTGCTGGCAGATGACAAGCAGATCGCCGACGCGTCAATTAAAGTTGCACCAGTGGTAACACCAATAATATGCATCTAATTGGTTAGTCAATGACAAAACAGATCAAGAGATATTTAAGCGAAAAGTGGTAAAAACTCAAAGCGATCTGACCGCAATGGAACAGAAAGTTGCGGGATCTCAATATAATATGGCCCAAGGGAAAATCGCGCAAATGGTCTACATCCATTCTATAAGGATGATGGGAAAAAAAAATTTGGATTGTCTATACTTTTATTCAAAACACAATTTAAGACAATGAGTGAAACCAATCTGTGAACTGAACCAATAAATATGATCCAATAAAACCTGAAAGTGCACTGGGCTCAAAAGTCTCCTCTATTTAACAGAATTCTCTGTAATCGCCTGTAGTCAGATATCATAGTGCCCCTCACATGTGGGGTGGGAGGTTCTGCTTCCTGTGCTCCTCTCTCCAATCAGGTACAGGCTTCCTAGACAGGTTTGAATGCAATCAGCTCCTAATATCAGTACTTTTGATTCCGATCTGCTGTGATTGGGAATATGTTTGCTGCGATACACGCAGGTAAGTGAAAGGGGTTCCCAGAAAAATATTACGCACAAAAGGAATTGCTGTGTGCTGGCGCACTACAGCAGTGCCATGATTAAAAAAAAGACACGAGCAGGTAGGCTCTACCGAATCTATGCAATCCATCGTTTAATTTCTAACTTTGAATTGAAAGTGCCTTTACCAATAAAGTACATAAAGGATTAGGAATACTTACTGCCGCTGTAGGCAGTCTTTGTGTGCAGGACACCGGCAAACGAAGCTTCCAGTCTGTCTCACCATCCAGTTGGTCTGTCCTCAGGAAGCAGGAGCCTAATGGAATACAGAGGATTATTATAAGGGGTGTCCCTGAGGTATTTGCCACCTGAGGCGATGATGTTCGTTGGGGGACGGGGGGCTGACAGACACCAGACCTAGCTGTCAGCGGCTCTGTCCAGCATCCCGCCCAGCTTATGGACATCAATGGTTGCCAGGAGCTGGGCGGCACGCAAGAGTGTCCTGCTCAGCTCCAGGCAACCAGTGATGTCAGTGATTTGGGTGGGAAGCCACACAGAGAGTCACAGTTTGCTAGGTGATCTTAGTGATTTTGGGACGCTGTGGCCACCCGCTGACATCCCCCCTCACCACCCGTCCCCCCCTCAATGAGATGCCGCCTGAGGCAACCACCTCAGACCGCTTCATTATAGGGATGGCCCTGATTATTATTACAAAGCATCACACATTATTAAAGCAAAAAAGCCTCACTATCAACACGAACACAGATGGTAGTAAAAACCTGACAGGTAGTAGTTGGTCATATTCAACAGGACTTGTTCTGTAATGTTGAACATGTTTCGTAGTTTATCCAAGCCACTAATGTTCTAATGAATGTCAGAAAAATACCCTAACATGCATATCCAGAAAAGAACCAGGTCAGGAAAAATCTTTGGCTTGAGTTAAGACTCAAAAGCTCTGAATAGAAAAAAAGACTTGTAAGACTGATAAAGAGCTAACTTTAGAGTCGAAACACAGATACAGGAACTGTTTTATCGAACTCGGCATATGTAATTTTGTTCATCCAGTCTTGTGATGTAGGCACCATGTAAGGCAGCAGCACAGCTTGTGGTCAAAAACACACCACAAGTTGGTAAATGGACAATACAGTAGCTGCACAATGAAGACCCCCCCGTTCTGCTCTCTTCAACATATTTACTGTCAGCACATGTGGACTGGAGCAAAGCCTGGTTGGCTAATGGTGCTGGAACGCCTCCTCCTAGCTTAAATGCTTCAGGCAATCACAGGAGGCCCAAAACAAGACAAATTCAGGTTCTTACATTTATTGGTCTTTAAAACTAATATATAAATAGAGAGTAGTTTTATTGTTTTGCAATATGCACAGAATTCAGCTTTAACCGCCAAAGCCCCAACTCCGGCCTCTCTATTATGTGCTACAAATAACAACTTTTTGTGCTACGAGCACAGATTCAAGGTTTGGTACAGTTACCATTTTTCTCTGAAGTCTGCAGGAATATCATAT